GGTAGGTACACTTTAATCAATTTGATCACATGTGTCATTAAAAGAGGAAAATCTTTCCCAGCTCCAGTCAGAGAGGGAGCTCTGAGGACGGAAGGAGGGCCACGGGGATTGCAACGTGACGGGAGAGTGGGGGCTCTGAAATGGACGAGGCAACTGTGAGCCGCGGAGTGCAGGCAGTCCCCGGAAGCTGAAAAAGGCAAAGAAAAGGATTCATCTCGAGGGTTTTTTGGAAGGAAAGCAATCCTACCAACGTCTATTTTAGTCCAGTGAGACTCACGTTGGATTCTGACCTATGGAACTATAAGGTAACAAGTTGGTGGTGTTATATAAACCACTAAATTTCTGGTAATTTGCTGCAGCAGCAATGGGGAACTGACAGCTTCCCCAGTGGGGAAGAAGCTGCCTGCGATGCAGGAGATGAGGGCTCAGTCCCTGGGCTGGGAGATCTCCTGAAGGAGGAAATGGCAATGCCCTCCAATAATCTTGCCTGGAGAATGCCATGGATAGAGGAGCCCGGCGGCTACAGTCTACAGGGTCACAAAAGGGTTGGACAGGACTCAGCAACTAAACGACTACAGTCCCAGAAGGATCCCAAATCCACTTATAGGAAGAAGACGCATGAGAATTAAATGTTTTTGGATTTTATTTTTTAAACTTTTTGGAATAATTTTAGACTTGTGGAAGAGTTTCCAAATACTCTCTACTCAGCCTTCCATAATGTTAACATCACACAGAATAACAGTGACATGACTGGTGTTAAGAAGTTAATACTGGTACAATACTATAAACTACTGATTTGATTCAGATATTATCAATTTCTCCACCAAAGTCCTTTTTTTCCCCCTTCTGTTCCAAGGTTTCACTTTGCATTTAGTCATCATGTCTTATTGGTCTCCTCCAGTCTGTCACAGTTTCTCAGACTTTCCTTGTCTTTCACGATCTTTAGTGTCTTCAGTTTGGGTTTGTGTAATGTTTCCTCATGAGGACAGTGAGATTGTATTATTGAGAAGAACACCTCAGAGGTGAGCTTTTCGCAAGGCATCATATCAAGAATTCATGATGTGGAGTTGTTACTAGTGATGTTAACCTTGATCACTTAGCTACAGGTTTTTCCACTGTAAATTACCATCTTTCACTTTATAACTAGTACATATAGTTTTGGGAAGAGATACTTTGAAGCTACACAAATATCCTGTTTCTCCTTAAACATTGGCCCCACTAATGCCTTCTTCTACCGGTGAATCTTACCTGCAACAGTTACCTTTGGAGTGTAGATCATGGAGACTCTAGTTTCTTTAGTCCTTCCACATTTGTTAGTGGGAGATCTATAGAGAGAGTTGTTCCAAGTTGTACTTATTTATTCAGTTACTTATTTACATGGGTGTAAGGGTATTTGCTTTATCCTTTGGGTTATGACCCAGATCCATTATTCTGTTGCTCAAACTGCTTCAGTTGGCCACTGGGGGCTCTTTCAAGTAGACGTCTGTGCCTTTCAATATGCCTCAGTCCGTTTCTTTCTTTCTTTCTCTCTCTTAAGAAACTTTCTTTTTTGTTTGTTTGTTTTCTTGCATTGCTCATCTTGTATTTACCCTGCCCCACCCCTGGGATCATACACCACTCCAAAGAGGACCCTGATTTCTTTCATTAAAGAAGAGTATTTGGAAGCCGAAGTTTGGACTCTAGGAGGGCTCATCGCTACTCGGGGGTCACGCTTCTAGTCTCTCACAGCAGACAGGACTAGAGATATGTGTATATGTACCAATTCATGCATACACACAGTTATATATATGTATATTTCCATATCTCTCTGTTTACATATATACTTTAAAAATCAGTTCACACTGATTTCTCCAACTCCAATCTAACACCCCAACCCTTTCTTTTTAGAATCTGTTTCTCCAGCTGTGAGAAACCTGGATCTCATTACCTACAATGTATTTATCTTTTTTGTTTTTTGAAGACAAGTATATTTTATTTGCAACTCTCCCAGCTCCAGCAATCATACCACTGACCCGTCCAGCCTGCCAGGTGCTGGTTGGGTTCTAGGTGGAATGTTGGGGGATTCTCCTGGTTCTGTTGTGGCTGGTGGATCCATGGTTACCAGGCAGAACCCTGTGGTAGGTCTAGTGTAATGCAGTGGCTGTGATCCTCTGTGGAGCTTGGCTTTGGGATGACCCTTTGGAAGGTGAGTGGGGTGGTAGTGAAGACGTTGGTCAATGACCTGAGTCCACGACTGACTTTCTGCAGCCTCCAAAGGGAGACAGGGATGTGTCTGCTTGCCATCACCTTATTGGTGGGTCTCCTATTTACATTAAGACTTGTTCAGTCTATTAGAAGCCGACTTTACCTAAGACGTGAAAGACAGCTCTCAGAAACACTGGCTGCATGGATTAATGAGAAATGTCAACTCTCTGACCAGTTTAGGGTGGCTGAAAAGGACTGTGCAGAGACTGAATTGGTTCTAGAGAATGCCAGACTAGAAAAAGAGACTTTAAACATAAGTCAACTTACTAATAATTTCAAGAAGGTGAAGAGGACAAACTTGATGTTGATGGAAAAATTAACTTCCTTGGTTAAAGAACTGAAAGAGAAACCCAAACTCTCGACACAGAAAGAAGAGATAGAGGAGATGCTAATGATACTTGAAGTCATAGAGGAGATCACGAGACTTAGCATCTCACAGAGAATTTCTCCAAACCTGCCAGGAGGCCAAGAGTCAAGCCCAGATGGTCCCTTCTGCAGGAGGGGTCCTAGGATTTAAAACAATGCTGTGCTCCTCCCCCCGCCCACCCCACTCCACCCAGGCCTCCTGAACGGCCACACTGTGTTCATCTACCTTGGCCTCCATCTAGAGGGTCATCAAGGCCAGCGGATCCAGAGGAACACCCCATCAGATGTAGTTCCTCCACCTTCATGTACTGGATACAGCAATGACCTCCTTTATGGTCCATTCCTTCCTCCAAATCTAAAGAATCTTGGACTTCCAAGAGCAAAGCAAGAAATGTGGGACTTCCTCTTGACATAAAGTCTGTGGATTCTCTCTCATTAGCAGTGGAAAAAAAAAATGTTGTACTTAAGAGACTAATCTTTTACTCAAGCTGAATCCTCATCAAACTGCATTTCTCAAGACAATGTTAATATCACTTATGTATGATATCTTATAAGTGAACTCTTTATATTTTATTCTCTATATAAATATAATTTGAAAGTACATTTGATTTAACAATAAAGGCTTAGTTGTTGACAGAAATACTTTTTGAGTTGCATTTTATAAAATATGTTTACTTATTAGCTCAACCATATAATGCATATCAAATAGTTTCAGAATTGTGAACCCATATCCTTATGTGGAACAATTTACCAACAACAGTATTTGTGTGTTCGGTACAGTTCAGTCACTCAGTCGTGTCTGACTCTTTGCAACTCCATGGACTGCATTACGCCAGGCCTCCCTGTCCATCTCCAACTCCCAGAGTTTGCTCAAACTCATGTCCATCGAGTCAGTGATGCCATCCAATCATCTTATCCTCTGTTGTCCCCTTCTCCTCCAGCCTTCAATCTTTCCCAGCATCAGGGTCTTTCCTGATGAGTCAGTTCTTCGCATCAGGTGGNCCTATTTGGAACCAGTCTGTTGTTCCATGTCCAGTTCTAACTGTTGCTTCTTGACCTGAATACAGATTCCTCAAGAGGCAGGTCAGGTGGTCTGGTATTCCCATCTCTTTCAGAATTTTCCACAGTTTTCTGTGATTCATACAGTCAAAGGCTTTGGCATAGTCTATAAAGCAGAAATAGATGTTTTTCTGGAACTCCCTTGCTTTTTTGATGATCCAACGGATGTTGACAATTTGATCTCTGGTTCCTCTGCCTCTTCTAAATCCAGCTTGAACATCTGGTAGTTCATGGTTCACGTACTGTTGAAGCCTGGCTTGAAGAATTTTGAGGATTACTTTACTAGTATGTGAAATGAGTACAATTGTGTGGTAGTTTGTGTATTCTTTGGCATTGCCTTTCTTTGGAATTGGAATGAAAACAGACCTTTTCCAGTTCTTTAGCCACTGCTGAGTTTTTCAAATTTGCTGGCATACTGAGTGCAGCACTTTCACAGCATCATCTTTTAGGACTTGAAATAGCTCAACTGGAATTCCATCACCTCCACAACTTTGTTCGTAGTGATGCTTCCTAAGGCCCACTTGACTTTGCATTCCAGGATGTCTGACTCTAGGTGAGTGATCACACCATTGTGATTATCTGGGTTATGAAGCTCCAGATATTTGTGTGTAGTCTTCTTATATTTAGCCTTACAGGATCCAGTCAAAACACTGTCTTCCAAAGATACTTAGGTCCGCTGCTTTCTTCCCCACTGCTTAAGTGCTTAACCATTTTTACAACTTGTCTATTATTAGATCAAAATATAAGATGACACACAATTCACTCACTTTCATGCTCTCAACTTGAAAACATCCCTTTGGGCACATGAATAGTGCTTTTGCACCTGGTCCAACTTTGTCTCTGAGACTGGACTTGGAAATCTTAGGCTCTAATACTTTGGAACTCAACTCCTTTAGTCCTCGGTAGCCATCGGTTCTGTAAAATAAATTCAACAGTTACTACAAAGCACCCGTCAATCCTGGGTAGCTTGGACAGTTCCAGCAGTAATTGTCAATTTCTAGCCTTACATGGTTATTTGCCATCTACGCATCTCATTTTTTTTTTTTTAATTTCAAGCTCCCTGAAGGTATTCATTCCATCTTTACAGCCTATTAACAGTCCACCTTGGCCACAAGAGATGCTCACATATTAATAGCTTTTCCATCATTATCTATGATGAATTGAAGTACAAGATTATAGATACTAAGTGTGATGGATCTTGTGCTACCAAAAGAGAGGCAATATCTTCTTTTACCTTGAACCCTCTTACCTGCATCCTTTTCTGTCCTCCTCTTGTTTGGCTAAAACTTCTGCTAGGTGTACACTCCGTTAAAGCATTCTTGGACCTCCTTTTCCCCTCTGTTGCCACTGGGAAGCCCAAATTCTCTTCTTTCAAACATTGTGTGCAGACCTCCTGTGTAAAACTTATGACACTGAGATATAATTGTTGATTTTCTTACCCACTTTCCTCACAAGGTATTGTGGCTTTTTGAGTGCTGGCCTTGGGTCTTCTTCATCTTAGTATCCCCATCACATGGCTTCAGCATATAGACGTTCAGCAGGGGTTCACCAAACAGAAGAATAACACTAGTGGTTAAGGAGAGATATTACAGATGCATTAACATGTGTTGTTATCTGGTCTTGGGAGCAGGACAGCCTGACCTTTGGTGACAAGTGGGCACTTGTGAACAAAACCCAAGTGTGAAGCTGTCTAATGTGTGGACAAGTGAATGACTGGGACCAGAAAATAATTAGGAAGATAAATAATTATTAAGCACCTATTAAGTGCCAAGAATTACCAGATTCTTTACATGTTTTACATCATTTTAATCTTCAACAACCTAAGTCAAATGACTTTCTGTCTGTGCAGAAGAGAAGCATCTTGCACTGAAAGGTAGGTGGTTAATAACTTGCCTAGTTCTCACAGCTCTTTGGTGATTGCAGTCCCCTTCCATCTTCCTGCAAAATCAATACACTTCCTACTCTACTATGATGTCTGAAGGGAGAGAAATGCATTACTTTCACTTGTGAAATTACTTGAAGTGTAAGTCAAAGAGCTTTATTTTGTAAAAATGTTGTTTTTTTAGCCACTAAGTCATGTTCAGCTCTTTGCAACCCCATAGATCTTAGCCCGCCAAATTCCTCTGTCCATGGGGTTTCCCAGGCAAGAATACTGGAGTGGATTGATTGCTATTTCCTTCTCCAGGGGAATCTTCCCGACCCAGGCACTGAACCCGTGTTTCCTGCACTGCAGGGGGATTGTTTTTTTTTTTTTACCGCTGAGCCACCAGGGAAGCCATTTTGTAAAAATAAGTTAAAACAAATAAAAGTCCTTAAATTGATGTCAAGTTTTGTTAGCAAAGTAGTCAGATGAAAAATCTTCTAACATTGTTGATGGTACCCCTGACCAACCTACTACACAGTAACTGAGAGACTTGAATGATTTTGTTCATGTCTAATACAGGCTTATGGGGTAAAATTTGGCAGGCACTTGGATAACCAGTATGCCCATAAGAAGTGGTAGCTGTTATTGTTGTCTAGAATACATGACTGCCGCTTTCTTTCCCCCAGAAGATTCAAAGAGCCAAAGGGTCATGGTATCATTGATTTTGGTATAAGAATCCAGCTGAATAAAGGCTTTCCTTTGATTTCTGTGGTCTCACTCATTGGATTGTAGCAGCTGGATATCATTAGAATGTCATACAACTTTTATTGGGTCTAAACTTGGCTCCATGAGAGTAGACAGGGAGTGATTAGGAGCTATTTTTAATACCCAACTCTTTTCAAATGGATTCCTCCTAGACCACAGTTTTTGTTCGGCAAATTATTATGATTTTAGAAAGGGGGAAATTTGTTCCACTTCAAAAATCTCTCCAAACACTGTGTGTTGCAACTGATTTTGCTTTCGAGCCAATTTTGTGTGCTTGGCAAGCAAGGTATCAGCAAGAGCATCTTCCAATGAAACACCCGCTTTCACTTCCTCATGGATGGCCACTCTTCCACTTCAGAAGACATTCATTGCCCCCCAAGTTAGACATGCAAGAGGTCAGGCCAATTCTTTCCAAGCACAGTGTCCCACTGCTCAAGGCATAATTCGCCTGTTTCATCAAGTTGATTAAAATGTTTTGTTACATCCTGTGACAACGAGCTTTCTCAACTCAGAGCAAAGAATGGTGAATGAGGAAGTAGACAATGATTTCAATCATTTACTGGAGGAGGACTGTAAACAAAGAAAATTAGACAAAAAAAGTGTTGAGCATGTATTTGCAAGCCCTCTCTATTTCAGCCAAGTTAGTTGAAGAATCATGTCGGAGGTGATCAATTCAACACTTTTCCTTAAAGGCTTGGGAAAAAAAAAATACAAACCTCAGCTTCCTTCTCCTTTACTCATGACTGTATGGAAGCATTTTAGATGATTGACGAAATGAAAGACAGATGGACAATCTACAAAATAATCTTAATTTAGAAGAAAATTATAGGGCTACCCTTTTGTGCAAGACCTGCTCAAGAAAAATCAAAATTTACCTTTTGAACTAAGTCATTTTAATAGCCTGCTGAAACAAAAGCCTTACAGCTGTGCTTGCTAAGCTTTTTTGCTACTCTTTTTTTCTTTTTCTCTCATGCAAATGAAACCAAGAAAAACATACAGCCATGCAAACCCCACCTCGGGCAAGTCTGAGAATATATTATTTCTCAGAACTCAGTTGGATTTATGGTCTATCTAATGTGGACTCTGCTCTTAGAAGATAAATATAGGAAATCATTTCAAAAGGATAACACTTTTGCTTAAAACAAACACAGTTTTCTGGCTCCTCCTGAGCATGCCTCTAGCCCTAGGCTTTATTATCTTCAACTCTAATTTTTTTTTCCCCCTGTACTTCAGCTCTGGGCCTTAAGAGGGTGCTGGGTACATGATATGTACTCAGGAAATTTTATGAGGTGAATTCATGAGTTTTTTTGGGGGGATAAAAACCTTCTTGTTGAATACAGGCAAAAAGTTGCTTGATCATTATTCAGATTTTCTCTCAGCATTAGCCAGACCACCAGTGGAAACCACTAGCTCTATTCAAGCCTCCAGTGTATCACTGTGATAATACTGGACTACCCACTTGGGGACCATAATGGACACAGTCAAGTCAAGTCAAATCAGGTCCCACCACAACAGACTCAGAGCTTTCCTCTGTCTCCTCATTAAAGGGATCAGGAGACGCCACTGACAGGTTTAAAAATAGTTACAGGGAGCACTTTTTCTCCAAGCCCTCTTCCCATATGCCAATACACATCACTCACACATACCCGTACCCATACCCCAGATCACATGTGAATGTTAATCATTTACATATATACTATGCCATCATACAGGAATCCCCTCGCACTCTCAGAAATCATATCTCTCTCACTCTCAGAAAATGCTTTTTGTGTGGCTCACCACACTCCCCCCATCCAGGGAAGGATGAACCATCATCGTCCTCATCGTTGTTATGGCAATAAGCAAAGAATCTAATTTATTTGATATGTAGGATGTACCAAATTTGTTCTAAGCACTTTACATCTATTAGCACTTTGCACCTATTAGCTTTTTTGATTTCCTACAAGGTCAAACTATTCTATCCATTTTACAAATGAAGAAAACGATGATTTAAAGAGCATATAACTGACATAAAGAGGAAGTGAGATTTGACTCCAGGCCATTTAGTTTTGGGGGCTTCCTCAATGGCTCAGTGGGTAAAGAATTCACCTGCAATGCAGGAGATAGAGGAAACCCAGGTTAGATGCCTGGGTCAAGAAGATCCCCTGGAGAGGGAAGTGGCAACCCACTCCAGTGTTCTTGCCTGAAAAATCCCATGGGCAGAGGAGCCTGGTTACAGTCCATGGGGTCACAAAGAGTGGAACACAACTGAGTGACCAGCACTTTCATATTGTTTTTCCATTTAGTTTTGGAGCCCCATACTTAAAATAGATATATATTTATTTATTTTGGCTGTGCTGGGTCTTCACTGCTGCACGTAGGCTTTCTCTGGTCTCGTGAGTCGGGGTTACTCTCTGTCTCAGCGCACAGACTTCTTACTGCACTGGCTTCTCTTGCTGTGGGGCACAGGTTCAAGGGCACGTGGGCTCAGTGGTTGCAGCTCCCGGGCTCTAGAGCACAAGTTCAGTAGTTGTGGTACACGGGCTTTGTTGCCATGTGGCATGTGGGATCTTCCCGGACCAGGGATCAAACCTGTGTCTTCTGCATTGGGAGGTGGATTCTTTACCACTGAGCTACCAGGGAAGCCCAGAGTGCCTTGCTTTTAATCATATGTTAAAATGTTTTAGGCCAGGCCAGTTACAATAGTTCTTATTCTTGACCAGTGGCGATTGGTTAACACGTGGACATGTGACCCAGTCTTGGCCAATGAGAGCCTTCTCTGGGACTTAGGCTGGAGATACCAGGAAAGAGATATATTTTTTTTTTTTTTAAACTGGAATGCTAAGCTGGTTTGATGTGGGTCTGGAGCTACTTGTGACCTCCTTTCCCCTACTGGGGAAGAGTGTGTCTGACAATGATGTCAACACAGTTGATAGCAGAGCTTACATTTAGAGAGAAAGAGATTCAGAAAGACCTCACTTAAGCTTTTTAAATGAATTAGTATGAGATGGTTTTTTCTTCTTTTCAGCTAGAATTTTAACTGATACACACCAGAATCTTACCTTACACATACACACTTTTGCTCTACATAACAGGTCCAAGAATAGCACTTGACCTAAATTAGGTCAGTCAGAACAAGGGTAATGAATTCTGAAATGACGAAGTAGTTGAGAAAGTGGACTCAATATTTCTGGTTGGACCTAAACCCCCAGAAGAAGTAAGCGCTGAATTTGCTGCCAGTATTTTAATACCATTTGTACCCTGTGTCTAAAGTCAACATAGAGGAAGACAAAATTGTGAAATTGCAGTAAAAAGAAAAACTAAATCCTAATGACATAGATTGGGCCCTGAATCCTGCTGAACCTGGAGCCATCAAGCTCTACCATTGGACACCTCTGTTATGCAGGTCAGTGAATCCAATTTTTGTTTAAGCTAGTTGGTGTTGGGTCTTCGATCATTTGCAATGGGATGGATCATTTGTTGATACAGAATTCCACAGTCTGTCTCACTTGGCAAACTCTCTCTCCATGTAGAGCTTTTAGCCAGGGTGACTCAGACTCCATATAAATGCCATTGATGAATGGTGAAAGTCTCTCAGTCATGTCTCACTCTTTGCAACCCTGTACTAAAGGGCTACAAAGGACTGTAGCAAGCCAGGCTCCCCTGGCCATGGACTTCTCCAGGCACGAATACTGGAGCAGGTAGCCATTCCCTTCTCTAGGGGATCTCCCTGACCCAGGGATCAAACCCAGGTCTCCTGCATTGCAGGCAGACTCTTTACTGTCTAAGACACCAGGAAAGCTGATATAAATGTAGTTACTGTACATTTTTTTCCTCAAGTACATAAAGGTCATGCTCTCTGGATGAGAGCACAAGGAGACGGCATGGGTTAACCTAGGACTAGGTTGATAGCATGATAATGAGGGTGATGGACAGAATCCTCAAAAGCTAAACACTTCTTAGAGATGGTCTGAACGATGCTTTCACATGGACAGCTCTGGTGTAGGTGGGCCCAGCAGTCCTGAAGGATGGCTCAGCATTCAAACTTGGAGTTGAGACCATAGGATGTCCGAGCACATGGTGAGACTCCTGGACACTGGATCCCAAGGACTATGAAGGAAAAGGGGGTTGATTGAAGCCTGGAAGAGATTGTCAACCAGCCATGAGACCACTGGTTACCAGTGGTCACAGGAAGCTTTTGATTGTCCCAAGTATCCTTCAGGCTATTGCAGTTATCACCACGTGACTGGACTTTTCTTGCTGAGGATATGTGTGTGGTTTGTGAGGTATACCTCAATGAAGTCTTCTGGATTTTCCAGATTGTCTCGTAACCTTGGCCTTAGTGTTTCTGACCTGGTTTTTCCTGTAGTTGCTGGTTCAGAACATATGAGGATGTAACCCACTGGCAACCCTGCCCAGTTAGCTGACTCATAGGAAGGCTTACTCTGTATGGAGGAAAAAGATGCCTTATTTGCAGCTCCATGAACACCTGCCTGTGCTTGGAAATGAGCTGAGCATTGCCGTGTCCTGTTGCCTCTGACTCAGGCACTGGTAGAAGGGAAGCTGAGGCTTTTCTGGGCCTGGGACTATGCCGCCCTGGCCTGATGGCCCTGAAAGCGCTGACCATGCAGTATCAGGCGGTGTACCTGGCTTGTGTCCCTGGTCTTCTGCCCTGTATCACAGACAGTGTGCGCACTGCCGTTCCACCATGAAGGGCGGGATAAAGGCAGTGTTTTAGCTGTGGTGTCAGGAGGCTGTGTCACTGTGGGCTGCAGCAGAGACAAGGCAGCATGTTGGCCACCCCTGGGAAGCGGGAGTTAGAAGTGGAGTGAAGGCTTGGTGTGAGATGGAGGCCCCTGACAGGATGTGGAGGCTGGGCTCTATAGACGCTGGAGGCTGGGTTCTATTCAAATCAAGGCCAGGGCGTGGACAGTATAGACCAGCCTTGGTCAGAGAGAGAAATCTGGGCTGGAGAGGTAGCAGAAACAGAAGCATGATCCAAAGCAAAACCAGGGACCAACTCCAACAAGTAGATTTGTTGCTTTGCTGGGACCCTGTAGACAGCTGCAGATTTTTATCTTCCCTTATCCCCCTTCTGGAATTGTTCTGGGCCTTAGAAGTGTAAGGTTCTACCTTTTCTGCATCATTTTTTCTCCAAGAATCTTGTGTGCTATTTAGTGTTCTCTTAATTGGACTCCTAGAGGTTGGATATGGGAAGTTTGGCTCCTCTGCATATCACAGGTGAGAATGGTCTGCTCCTTCTGAAGCATGAAATTTCCAGCAGACTATTCCTATCTACACCCACTTAATCTTGGAACGTGATTTCTTGAAATATTGGTGTTTGTTTGAGCCCCAGCTGTTTCTGTCAGAGAAATCACTTTGAAAGCTTCATTTTCTGGGATAATAGGACTTCAGAAATATGAAATTTCTCACTGTCCATAGTTACTGGATTATTTTAAGCAACAAAATAATGTATAACATGTTGCAAATTGTTTAGGGTTTATATCTTTCTTACTGACAAGAAGGGCTTGGCATAATCTGAAAAATAAGCATTCATAAACAGAGTCTACTGAAATGGAAAAAGAGAACTATGTACTACGCAGGAGGAGAAAGCCAAATGTGTTAGTTTATCTGATACATCTGAGTAAACCAGTTCCTTGGGAGATACAATCATTTCCTGGTACTAAAAGGAACATGTTGTGTATGTGTATGTTCTAACACACGGAACACAAAGCCACTAACTGAACAACATCTTCAAGAGCAGTTTTGGAGACAGTAGAATGAGCCCAGCTCTGATGACGGATTGTTCGTGCTCAGTCGCCAAGTCGTGTCCTACCCCAATAGACTGCACAGGTTCAGATCCCAGCTCTGCTGACTGCCACCTGTGTGACTCTGGGCAAGTGGCTTAGCCACTCTAGGTCTATTTTCTTATTTGTAAAATGAGGACAACAATAGGGCCATTTTCATTGCATTGTCGAGGAGATTAAGTGAATGAACAAATAAAGAAACTAGGATAGACTCTGGCTCATGGTGAACGCCAATCAAAAGTCTTCCTTTTCTTGCTATTTCTCATACTAATACTAAATAGAGATTCAGTTCAGTTCAGTTCAGTCGCTCAGTCGTGTCCAACTCTTTGCAACCCCATGGACTGCAGCACGTCAGTTCTCCCTGTCCATCACCAACTCCCGGAGTTTACCCACACCCATGTCCATCGAATCAGTGATGCCATCCAACCATCTCATCCTCTGTCGTCCCCTTCTCCTCCTGCCCTCAATCTTTCCCAGCATCAGGGTCTTTTAAAAGAGTCAGCTCTTCGCATCAGGTGGCCAAGGTATTCGAGTTTAAGCTTCAGCATCAGTCCTTCCAATGAACATTCAGGACTGATTTCCCTTAGGATGGACTGGTTGGATCTCCTTGCAGTCCAAGGGACTCTCAAGAGTCTTCTCCAACAACACCATTCAAAAGCATCAATTCTTTGGTGCTTAGCTTTCTTTATAGTCCAACTCTCACATCCATACATGACTGCTGGAAAAACCATAGCCTTGACTAGATGGACCTTTGTTGGCAAAGTAATGTCTCTGGTTTTAAATATGCTGTCTAGGTTGATCATAAGTTTCCTTCCAAGGAGTAAGCATCTTTTAATTTTATGGCTGCAGTCACCATCTGCAGTGATTTTGGAGCCCAAAAAAAGTCTGCCACTCTTTCCAAGTGCCACAAAGCGCTAGCCCAAGAGTGGTCCAAGGGCCTCTACAGATGAGCTTTCTAAAGCTCTTGCCTAATTCTGTCTGAGATTATTTCCATAGTCATCCTCCATCTTCTGGGAAAACTTTCCTTCCAATGCCTGCCTTCCCCTTCCCCTCGGCCAAATTCCCATGCCCTGTGTCCCCACTGTCCTCACCCTGGCCTTGGGCTCCCCTCTGCAGTGTTTGACTTATGCCCCCTATTGTCAGGTATTTCATCCTGTTGTTCTTTTTTCCTCTTCTCTTTTACTAGCATTCTCCCAAGTACTGGCCCCTCAGGAAACTGACATATAAATGTGATGGACTAATCCAAGCTAGTAACAGTTAATTTTATGTCAATTTGGCTAAGATACGGTGCCCAGTTGTCCCATCAAACACTAGTCTAGATGTTGCTGTGAAGGTATTTTTAAAGATATGTGTGTGCATGCTCAGTCTCTCATTTGTGTCTGATTCTTTCTGACCCCATAGACTGTAGTCCGCCAGGCCCCTCTGTCCATGGGATTCTCTAGGCAAGAATACTGGAGTGGGTTGCCATTTCCTTCCCCAGGGGACCTTGTGAACTCAGGGATGGAACTCCTGTCTCTTCCATTGCAGGCAGGTTTTTACCATTGAGCCACCTGGGAAACCTTTTTAAAATATGATTAACATTTAATAAGTAGACTTTGAGTAAAAGCAGATTACTGTCTGTAATGGGGGTGGGCTTCATCCAATCAGTTAAAGGCCTTAAGAGAAAAGACTGAGATCTTCTTAAGAAGGAAGGAATTCTGCCTCCAGATTGCTTCTGGACTCAAGATGACAACATTGACGCCTGCCAGAATTCCCAGACTGCTGGCCTCTTCTGTAAATTTCAGACCTGTCAACCTCCACAATTACATGAGTCAATTCCCTAAAATAAATCTCTTTCTCTCTCTCTCTCTCTCTCTCTATATATATATATATATATATATATACACACACACACACACACCTCCTATTGGTTCCATTTCTCTAAAGAACCCAAACCAATACAACTATTGATGCTTGTAATGGCCAAATGTCTTTGCTTCCTCACTAACACTTGCATTTTAACAAGAGCTCAAATTTAAAAAGGGAGGAACTGTGAACATTGCTAAGTACTGTTGGAGAGCAAGTAGACAGTAAGGAGGTCCCTCCCAGTGACTTTGAGATCACTTCGTACAGGTGGCAGCCTGTTCATGAGATGGGCCTGGGCTAGTCCATAAATGGCTTTATTTCCTTCTCCTCTGAAGCTATGCATGGACTATGTAGAAATGACTTTAGCTATAGACACATACCACACACATTTATTTTAGTCTGGGTTAATATTTGGAAATCATCTATGAATAAAAACTCTTCCTATTGCCTTGTGCATCTGCTCTGAATGTTGGTGTAATTCACCTATTTATCATAATCATAAGAGCAAGGTAAACATGAATCACTGTCTCCTTAAGAGTGGAAAGGAAACAAATATTTCTCTGAAATTTCTTAGAGGAAAGTCAATCTTCTACCCATTACATTAAGGCAGAAAAATCAATCAGTGCCAAATCCAAGTCCTTTTCTTTTTTAGTTTTTCATGTGGAAGATTCATCAATAAATCTTCCAGAGGCATCATTGTTCTTACAAAGGTAATATCACACACTTTCAGAAATGGCAGAACAATGATAATGTAAGGGCAAGGTGGACTTTGGAAAAGAAATGAACCTGCGATGTGATAAAACATCAAATGCTTCTGGTTTCTACAATGCAGACCATTATTATGGCGATGATGCTTCCTCAGCATGAAAATGTAGAGAATTGGTATTCACTGATGGAACATAGTTACTGTAGCTCTTTTTTATGGTTGGTGTTCTGACAATCACTTATCCTCACCCGTTCTTGCCCACTCGCCTGCTCTCTCCTCCAGTTTCTGGTCTGCTTTGTGAGATCACGAATCTCCCATTCTCTAAGAAGCCGACGTGGTTAATCTTATCTCCAAACAAGTAAAGCAGGCAACCTTCTCCATGAAAATGAGAAAGAAAGTCTGCAAAAGAGGAACAAGGGGTAGAGAAATATTAATGAAGGTTTATTGCCTGGGGACGGTGACTCAAGTCACCCTTACCCTAGAGGTGCTTAAGAGTTAATTTTTGGAGAAGCTAACTTTTTTTGAGAAGGCTTGACTAACCCTAGAGCTGACTGGGAGGTAACTTGTCTGGGAGCCACTGGGAGAAGGTGAATGTCGGTAAGGGAGAGGTGAAGTAGGAGCAAAAGGAGAAAGTGAAAAGGACTGGGGGTCTGGTCCTCAACCTGATTCTAAGAGATCGTGTAAGGTATCACCAAGTGCCATGGAGCCCGCAAAGAAAGAGTAACTGTTGTTTGATTAAAAGTAATATGAAAGGTGAACCACTGATTTGAAATACTTTGGGGTAATTATGCAAAGGACTGATTAGTCAGTTTCTCCCATATTTCTGCACTTCAAAAATCCCTTAGCTTATCTCCTGAGTGCTCCCCAAGCCTGAAGATAGCGTCATTCATGGGCCACCCACGGGGGCAGCAGAAACAAGTCTGTACACACTGGGCAGAAGCGAAGGAGAGACGAGTGTTTGGAAGCCAAGGGCAGGATGCATCTCGAAGCCCTCACAGACTTCGGGACAGATGCCTGCAGTCAGGAAGGGGAAGAGGAGGGAAGAGAGGGAAAGAGGGGAAGATGGGAGGATGGTGCAGATCGCCCTCACCCACAACAAGGAGCTTCCTTTGTGCCAACTGGGAGCTCGCTGGATGCTGAATGGCCCCCAAGTGGTCCTTCCCGCTGCTTTCCGACAGACAATGCTCTTCCCATGACTCAGTTATCTGCAGGGTGATGTGAGTGGGACTGAAAAGGGACAAGGCAAATCTAGACTAGGCTTTCTAAATTTGGGGTTTCTTCCAGTTTGGGGTTGAATAAATTTTTGTTGCACCCCTGTTCTGTGCATTGTAGGATATTTAGCAATACTTCAGAACTCTACCCGCTAGATGCCAGTTGCACCCCCAATTTCAGGTGAAATAACCCTACATATCACTAGATGTTGCCCAATGTTCATTGAGGGGCATCAGTGACTGCCAGCTGAGAACGCTGGTCGCCACTGAACCAGTCTGAAATCTCGTTCTTTTTTAGTAAATTGGAGTTTAATGGCTTTGCAATGTTGTGTTCATTTCTGCTGTTCAACGACTCGAATCAGCTGTGTGTAAACATGCATCCCCTCCCTCCCGGAGCGCCTGTCACACTCCCCATCCCACGCATCTAGGTCATCCCAGCGCAGAGCTGAGCTCCCTGTCCCCCCCGTGCAGCGCCTCCCCACTAGCAATCTCTTTTACACACGGCAGTGTGTTTATGTCGAGGCTCATCTCCCAGTGCTTTCCGCCCTGCCCTTCCCCGCTGTGTCCACACGTCTGTTCTCTAAGTCTGCATCTCTCTTCCTGCCCTAGAACTAAATTCATCTGTTATTTTTCTAGATTCTACCTACATGCATTAATATACGATATCAAATTCTTTCTCTTCATTCTCCCTCTCTCTTTTTTTCTCTCTTGCTCTCCATCTCTTTCTCTCCTCCTGTCCTCCCCCCGCCACCTCCTCTCCACCTCCGCTGCCTTAGTCTAAGATGCAGTCTCGTTCAGCCTGCACAGCTGCTATAGCTTCCATCCTAACTGGTCTTCCGTATCCCCTTCACTCTCCAAAAATCAGTCTACACCCTGAAGTCATGGTGATTAAAAAAAAAAAAAAAATCCCTGTCCTGTGCTTAAAACTCTGTGGGCCTTCCCATCTCCTTAGCTTCCTTAGGACGAAGACCAAAGCCTTTATCATTTGACCCGAGTCTATGCGATCAGGATTCTCTGCAGACTCCTCACTCCCCCGTCCTCTGGGCTTCAACAGCCCTGCTCTTTCACTTTTTAGGTGGACCATGATTCATTTAACCACAGGGCCTTTGCACACCCTGTTCTTCTGCCTGAGACCCTCTCTCTCAATGTAGCCTCCTGATTAACAGGCAGTGTTTCTCTATCAGCTCAAGCATCACTTCCTTGGGGAAGCCTCTGCGAATGCTCAGAAGGAATCAGGCTCCTCCTGCCAAATGTCCTCATATCAGTATGGCAAGCTGCTCTGTAGCAGTTATCACAGTTGTGATTTTACACTAGAGGGCTGTAACCTCGTTAATCCTATCTCCTCCTCTGAGCTGTAAGATGTAGGAGACTAGTGCTGACTGACTTCCTTCCTGTCTCCCTCTCATCTTCATTCCTTCTTTGCATCTCCCTTCACTTTTTGTGGACACAAGTCCACATGGGTCTACTGAGCCCCAGTCTGTAGCCCCCACACTGAACTTTCTAGAACTCTATATCTGTTCTTTCTGTTATTTATGTTTCGACCAATTTCTAGCAACCTACCATCAGCTCTCTGCTTTTTTTGTGGGCTAAGTTTTGTGAAGGAACATAAAGTTGCTGAAAAGATGCCACTCAAGCTGTCTTTGTGGGTCCCCTCCAAGGTGACCCCCCAGTCTTTTGTTCTAAGCAAAAGGAATCCTGAGCCTTCCAGTCATGTCTCAGCCATAGTGCTGCCCAAGCCTCTAGCCTATGCAGATGATAATAAAAATGTTTTCTTAAAAATCAGAGAAAAGCAGAAAAAGGACTCATTGTATTTGTCAGGCAAACTCTGCTTTAGCCGGGCTTTTGACAGTAGGCAAGAGAAAGCATAGTTAATGGTAAAGACTGATAGCAGTAATGCGGTGGGTCGTGAACTTGTCTGGCTCCTTTGTTTCTGGTTTGTGGTTCTATCCCAAGTCTGTAATGACATATAAAATAATAGACTGCTTATCCTCGTCCTTCTCCTTCATCGCAAATCACGTGTCTGAAGACAGTACGTGGGATTTCCAGGATGCGAACTTGTCACTAAGCATGTGCATCATTCAGTAGGTTGCTACTGAATCAGGACATCACACCTCATGTTTAACTTAAACCTATTTCCTCCACGTAGTTCTACTAGAAACAAGCTTTCCTCGTTTCCCTTTCGTCTTTCCTCGGTCTCTTTAGGCTGTTGAAATTCACTATTTCCGGAAGAAAAGGGCATTACTCTTTAGAGTAATGAGGCTGTGAACTCTTCCAGTCTTAACAAGACAGTGCTGGATATCTAGTAATCATAAGGCAGGGGTCTCAATGGGGATTGTTACAGGTCCTGACAGGGAGGAGGCACTTTTCACGTCCATTATTGCATTGCAATGGTACTGGCAGGATCCTAAGAGAAAACTCAAGGCCCTAGGCAGAGACGGGAGAGATGTTCACCTCAGTCGGAAATTCCGTCTTACTAGGATTTCTACTGTAAACAGCTGGGGCCACAGTCACGTTTGCTTTACAAACTCCAGGAGAAATGCTCACTGAGAAAATTCACAGAAGAGCTAGAGGGGAGCATTGGGCTGCTGTCCTGGTAATTGGTCTAAGCTCCATAATTGCAGTGACTGTCTGTTTTCTCCAACATCACATCCCTAGAGCCTAGCAGAGTTAATGTTTCCAGCAAATACCTGCCGATCTTCTGTGTGTGTAATACAACAGGGAGATGGGTGGGAAGCTTCCAGTGTTAACAGGAAGTAGGGAAGGAGAAAATGTGTAGAAAGAGGGAAAAAGACAAAAAATAAGCTTACATTTGTGTAAGTTTTATTTTCTTTAAAAATATTTCTTCTACTGTTATATTTTCCTGAGAATGTCTTTAAGATGCCTTCTTGTATGACGGTTAGTATTTCCATTTTTTTTTTTTTTTATAGCTTGAGAAGGAAAAACACAAAGTGTAGATTCCCTTGGGTCATGTGGTGAATCTATTTAATCCTTTTTCTGTTTTAAAATATGCTTGTTTCCTGTTTGATCTTAAGTAGGTTCATGTCTGTCTAAAATTATTTGTGTTGTGAGACAGGGACAAACACCATGCTACTGAAAAGTTTAGTGTAGTCTCATGTACCACAAGGTTACTTAGATTTAAGAAGAGTCAAGAGTTATTTGCATAAAAGAGGCAGCTATGATTACAGGAGTGGTCATTTCTCAACTCGTGTGAGCAAGTTAAAATTCTCTTTTTGACTTTCCATGACACAGAGGCCCTTGTTCTGCTGGAAGAATTTTTCTGATGTTTGGGGATAAAGGTTTATCCACCTTTTGTTTACCTTTTCCCTAGCATATGGTAGACATCATAGCAGGAATATGTTGTAAGGTTTTTCTTAAGAAAGGAGGTGAGGGGCTTTCCTGGTCACTTAGTGAAGAATCCACCCTGCCACTGCAGGAGACACTGGTCTGATCCCTGTTCCAAGAAGATCTCACATGCCGCGAAGCAACAACGGCCGTGTGCCACAACTATTGAGCCTGTGCTCTGGAGCCCACGTGCCGCCGCTACTGAAGCCCACGTGCCTCAGAGCCTGTGCTCCACAACCAGGCAAGCCGCCCCGAGGAGGAGCGCCACGACTGCAAAGAAGAGGAGCCACCACTCACGGGAACGCGAGAAAGCCCGTGTGCAACACCAAAGACCCAGCACAGCCAGAAAGAAATAAAATTATTAAAAAAAGAAAAGAGGCAAGACAAAGACAGATATGATAGGATATCACTTATATGTGGAATCTAACGATACAAAGGAAATTATTTACAAAATAGAAATAGACTCAGACATAGAAAACGAACTGACGGTCACCAAAGGGGGAGGTGGGAAGCTAAATTAGAAGTTTGCAATTATACTTACTACTATATATAAAATAAACAAGGACTTACTATATAACACACAGAACTACACTTGATATTTTACACTAACCTATAAGGAAAAAGAATCTGAAAGAGATATATGTGTGTGTGTGACCGAGTCATATTCCTGTGCACCTAAAATGAACACAACATTGTAAATCAACTATAGTTTAATGGAAAAAAAAAGAAGGAAGGTGTTTGTTAAGCAACTAACTAGATGCCCAGGATATAAAAAATTGTAAATGCATGGTTCCATTTTGAAGCTGAAATGTGGATTTGAAGCTGAAATGTGGATATGAAGCTAAG